GCCCTAGAGGGCCTCGAACCTCTGACTAGTCTTACACGGTCTGCAACAGACATTGATCATCCTTGGTAAAAATTTACTTTATTGAGCTTTAGAAAACCAATTCTTGGTTTTATTTATCAATTCTGCTTCAGTGGGAGGGCCTTATTTTCTTTATTTTGTTGTTGGATATTTTTCCCAATTGCTTATTCTCATATATTTCCTTTTTCTTTTATTGTGAATTGAGTGAAGGTTTACAAAGCAGATCATCAGTTTTGAATTCAACAAATCATATACTTTGCTTCAGTACAACGATTGCAATTCCCTCCATGTACCATTAGTTAATAGTATTTACCTCTATTCACTTTAACTCTTGTATTACTCCCTTTGTTCCCCACTACCTTCATCTTTCCTCTGTCAGCCATCCTCTTGTATGTTGCCTGCTCTGCACCAATATCAGCATATGTCTACCCCACCCCTTAACCATCATAGAATGGTAGTTTGTCGTGATGGCTTGTGTGTTGCTGTGTTGCTGAAAGCTGTGCCGCCAGTTTTTTAAATATCAGTAGGATGCACCCTGGTGTAGCACTGTAGGATCAGCCCTGGACTGAAAACCACAAGGTCAGCAGGTCAAACCCACCATCTGCTCTTTGGAATACAGTGTCTCTGTGAGTCAGAACCGGCGCTACGGCATTTACAACAACAAGGTACATCCACAGTGGACAGGTTTCAGCTGAGCTTTCCAGACTAAGACCAACTAGGAAAAAGGAGAGACAAATTACTTCTGAATGTTTATAGTCAATAAAAGTGTTACAAATAGCAGTGGCACAATGTCAAATAGCACAAGAATATTGAATATTGAACATAGTGAATAGCACCAGAATATTGTCAGATTAGTGCTGGAAGGTGAGCCCCTCAGGTTGGCAGGCACTCAAAATACTTAAGACTGTGGAAGAGCTCTGGTAGTGTAGTGGTTACGAATCAGGCTGCTAACCTCAAGGTCGTCAGTTCGAAACTACCAGACGTTCCACGGGAGAAAGATGAGGAGGCTTTCTGTTCCTGTAAAGATTTACAGCCTCGGAAACCCTGCGAAAGGTCACTATGAGTCGGTATCGACTCCACAGTATTTAACAACAACAGAAGAACTGCCTCCTCAAAGTAGAATTGACCTTGTTGATGCAAATGGAGTAAAGCCCTTGGGACCTTAATTTGCTGATGGGGCACAACTCAAGATGAAGAGAAACAGCTGTAAACATCCATTAACAATTGGAATATGAATGCAGGTAAATTGAAAGTTGTCAAAAATGAAATGGAACTCAAACATCTATATGTTTTATGTGTTAGGCATTAAGGAGCTCTGGTAGCGTAGTGGTTACAAATCAGTCTGTTAACCTCAAGGTCAGCAGTTTGAAACTACCAGCAGTTCCACAGGAGAAAGATGAGGCTTTCTGCTCCCGTAAAGATTTACAGCCTCAGAAACCTTGTACAAGGTCGCTATCAGTCAGTACTGACCCCACGGCACACCACCATCACCGCCACCAGTGAGCTGAAATGTACTGATATTGGCCATTTTGAATCTGACGGTCACATGGTTTACTAAGGTGTCACATTCCTCATCATTAGTTTAGACTCATTGCCCACTAAACTTCTCATATATGCTTTAGGATTACTGTTCTCAATTTAATCACATGTCTATAATTCTTTAAAAAGGCATACTGCTCTAAGTAAACATTTTTACTATTTGAGCTGAGCTGTTATTTGATTTAAAGGTGATTTCAGGGGATTGTTTTGATTCAAGATTTAGAGAGTATCTCAGGACAATAGATTCAGGGGTTTCCCCAATTTCAGTGGGTCCAGAAAATCTGGACTCCGTATGAATTTGAAATTCTGTTCTGCATTCCCCTCCCCTTTTAATTAGGGTTCATTTATTGAGTCTTTGATCAAAATATTCTGTACTGTTATCCTAGCACTGTGACGCATGGTCTCTTGGAGGCAAAATTCATGGAAATGAGTCAGAAGTGTCCTGGTGTGGCGCTGTGGGTTAATGTGCTGATTGCAAAGTCGATTTGAACCACAAGGTCAGTGGTTCAAGCTCACCAGTTGCTCCTTGGAAACCCTATACACAGTTGCTATAGTTCAGAACTGCCTCAGTGGCACTTAACAACAACAACTCTAGTTCTAGAGACCCAGGTCTCTCTCTTTCTCTTTTTTTTTAATATATCGAGGAATTACTGATTTTATAAATATGATTATTAAATAAATACATAAAACTAATCTAAAATTGTTAAGTGCCATCAAGTCAATTCTAACTCATAGCAACCCTGGATAGGACTTCCAGGGAGCAGCTGGTGGGTTTGAACTGCCAAACTTGTGATTAGCAGTCCAGTGTTTACCCTATAGCACCATACCAGGGTCCAATCTAAAACAAGTGGTAGCATTTTCAGAATATTCCCATAGATTCTAATTTGTCTGTTTTTATCTTGGCCAGGTTGGAGTGATCGATTTTACCCTTTACCTTAAAGATGTGCAGGATCTCGAAGGTGGCAAAGAGTAAGTGTGTGCCGTATACTTCTTCTCACATTTCGTGAAGTTCAAGGAAAGAATGCCATTTTTTATTTTGCTTTATTTGAAATTTTTGTTTTCATGTAGTATTTTTAATATTTAGTTTAATGTTTTAATATTTTGTTATTTTTAATATTTTAATACATTAATGATTCTCATTGTTTAAGAAATTCAGCTAGGCAGAAGACTAGAGAATAACCCTGAAACTTCCCCATTTGTATCACCCACTTACCTTCATGTCACTCTCGCTCCTCTCCTTGAAGGGTACTACTCTTGCATCTCGTTCCAAACTATTGTTTAACACCTTACAGGCCTGTGTTTGTAAGTGGCATGTTTTCTTCATTGTTTGCTGGTTTTAATATAAATGGGGGGGACTATATAAATAATAAGATTGCCTCCATATCTCAAGGATAAAAGCATGGGTCTTATAAACCAGGGGTCACAAGTCCAAATTTTACTGGGGTCTGGCACAATTTTTTAGAGTCCTAGTGTGGCACTGCAGGATAATGTGCTGGACTACAAGGTCAGTTAGAGCCACAAGTTTAAAGTTCAAACCCACCAGCCACTCCTCGGAAATCCTATTATGCAGGGTCACAGTGAGTCAGAACCAACTCAACAGCACTTAACAGCAACAACTTTGTAAACAGAATCCTGGTGTGGCACTGTAGAATCAGCATTGCACTGATAGTCACAAGTTTGCTGGTTCAAATCCACCCACTGCACCTTGGAAACCTTATACAGGATCACTATGAGTCAGAACTAACTCAACAGCACTTAAAAGCAGGAACTGTTTAAGTTGTCCTTTAACTTGTTCTTTGGTCAAGTGTGTCTCGGATGTCTTTAATGTATCGTGTATGGCTAGCTCTTTCGCTCATCTTTTTTAGTGAGAGCATGCTTTTGAAAGAAGTTACCCAAGAAGAAAAAGAAAAGGAAGTTAAAGAAGTGTATGTATATCATGCTTTAATATTTGTAATAAAAAAGGATATGCATATGCAGTTCTGTGTCACACTTTCATGTACATGGGTTACTTCTAAAGTGGCACTAATAACAGACTTTGTGGAAGGAACGGTATGTCAGGAGGCATAGCAGGAAGTTTTTATTGTAAACTGTCTGGTTGTGTTTGATTATTTTACCATTCAATGGCCTCTGTTACCTCTCTTGCTGAATGTTTTCACTGACAAGGATTCCCACAGTCTTGGTGCCCTGGCAACACCATACCGAGGAATGAACCAGCAGGAAGCCAAATGATTCTTTATGTATCTTGAGTACAAGAGTACTAGGAATTTAAAGTCTAGTCTTAATGGCAAAAAACTGAAAACAAAATTATTATTGTCCCATAAGGGAATAATTGAATGAATTGTGGAACATGCATAATATGGGATATGTGTATTCCATAATTCATTTAAGGTATCCCCTTTTTCGAAGATAATAATTCTTTTGCCAGTTCTTACAAGGTAAGGAGTCCTGGTGTGGCACTGTGGGTTAATGCGCCAGACTGCAGAGCCATTTGAACTGCGAAGTCGGTGGTTCAAGCACACCAGCTGCTCTTCGGAAACCCTATGCAAGGTCACTATGGGTTGGAACCGACTCGACGGCACTTCACAACAACAGACTAGGGAGTCCTGTTATGGCGCTGTAGGATAAGCACTGAACTGCTAACCACAAGGTTGGTATTTCAAATCCATAAGCTACTCCTTGAAAACCCTATACAGAAAAAAGAAAAAAAACCTTATACAGAGTTGCTATGAATCAGAATCAACTTGACAGCATTTAACAACAACAAATCGAGTAGACTTGAATGGATTTCCACAAGGTATTATTTAGTGAGGAAAGAATGATGATTAAGTATATGTGAGATCAATTTTTTATTAAAATATATGTATATGTTATATTTTAGTTATAAATAACCAAACCAAAAACCCACTGCCATTGAGTTGGTTCCAACCTATAACAACCTTATAGGACTGAGTAGAACTATTCCATAGGGTTTCTGAGCTGTAAATCTTATGGAAGCACACTGACTGCCTCATCTTTCTCCCTAATAGTGGCTACTGAGTTCGAATCGCTAACATTTTGGTTAGCATCCCAACCCTTAACCCAGTATACCATCAGAACTCTTTAACTATATATACTATATATACAGGAGTCCTAGTGTGGTGCTATAGGCTAGCCACTGCACTGCTAACCACAAGGTCGGCAATTCAAACCCACCAACTGCTCCTTGGAAACCCTGTATAGGGTCATTATAAGTCAGAGCCAAGTTGACAGCACTTAAAAACAACAGTACTATCTATACAAACATACGTATATGTGTGTGTGTGTATATATTATATATATATATAAATATATATACACACACACACACATATATATATAAAAACACACATATATATGTATATACATACATCCACCACTCACCTGTCAGTTTCTCATACTGCGGTAGCTTGCATGTTGCTGTGAAGCTGGAAGCTATGGCAAAAGTATTTTAAAGACCAGCAGGGTCATCCATAGTGCACAGGTTTCAGCAGAGATTCCAGACTAAAACAGTACAAAGAAGGAGACACTAACTACTTCTGAATGCTTAGCCACTGAAACCCTTATGAATAGCGACAGAACATTGTCAGATATAGTGCCAGAAGATGAAAACAGTATGAGTAGTACCAGAATATTATCGGATATAGAGCTGGAAGATGTCCCCCAAGGTTGGAAATTACTCAAAATATGACTGAGAAAGAGCTGCTCATCAAAGAAGAGTTGGCTATGATGATGTGAGTGAAGTAAAGCTTTCTGAACCTTCATTTGCTGATGGGGCACAACTCAAAAGGGGGAGAAACAGCTGCAAATATCCATTAATAAAAAGAACATGGAATGTACAAATTATGAATCCAGGAAAATTGGAAGTTCTCAAAATGAAATGGTACACATTAAAGATTGATATTCTAGGCATTCGTGAGCTGAAATGGACAGGTATTGGCCATTTTTAATCTAACAGTAATATGATTTACTATGCCAGAATGATGAATTAAAACTGAAGACAGTAGCATTCATCATCAACAAAATTTCAGATCTGTCTTGAAAGACAACGCTGTCTGAGATAGGATAATATCTATAAGTCTACAGAGAAGACTGGTTAATACCACTATTATCACAACTAAAGTTAGTGATGATAAAATTTAAGAATTCTACCAATGTTTTCAGGAGCTCTGGTAGTGTAGTGGTTACGAATAGGGCTGTGAACCTTAAGGCCAACAGTTCGAAACTACCAGCGGCTCCGCAGGAGAAAGATGAGGCGTTCTGCTCCCGTAAAGATTTACAGCCTCGGAAACCCTGTACAGGGTCGCTATGGGTCGGAACTGACTCGACGGCACTTAACAACGACAACAACAACCAACGTTTTCAGTCTGAAGTTGATCAAACATGCAGTCAAGATGTATTGATAATTACTAGCGATTAGAATGCAAAGATTGGAAACAGAGAATGGAAAATCTGACCTTGGTGATAGAAATGATGCTGGAGATCACATGATAAAATTTCAAAACCAATGACTTCTTCATTGCAAATACCTTTTTAAACAGCATACAAGGTGCTTATGCACATGGATCTCACCAGATGGAATACACACAAATCAAATTGACTACATCTGTGAGAAGAGATGATAGGAAAGCTCAGTGTCATCAGCCAAAACAAGGCCTGGGACAGACTGTAGAACATACCATCAATTTCATTTGTGCAAGTACAGGCTGTAGCTGAAGAAAATTCAAACAAGTCCACTAGAGCCAAACTATGACTTTGAACATATCCCACCAGAATATAGAAACCATCTCAAGAACAGAGTTGATGCATTAGACACTAATGACTAAAGAACAGAAGAGATGTGGGATGACATCACATCCACCATGCAGGAAGAAAGCAAAAGGTCATTAAAAAGACAGGAAGAAAGAAAAAACCAAAATGGATGTCAGAAGAGACTCTGAAGACTCAGACTCTCCAGCAAAGAGATTGTAAAATAAATGGAAGAAATGAGGAGGTCCAAGAGCTGAACAGAAAATTTCAAAGGTCAGCTTGAGAATATAAAGCCAAATATTACAACAAAATGTGCAAAGATCAGGAGTCAAAATGGAAGAACACAGTCAACATTTCTCAAGCTGGGGGAACTGAAGAAAAAATTCAAGCCTCGACGTTCATTGTTGAAAGATTCTCTGGGCAAATTATTGAATGATCCAGAAAGCATCAAAAGAAAATAGAAGGAATACAAAGAGTCACTGTACCAAAATGAAATGGTTGATGTTCAACTGCTTCAAGAGGTAGCATATGATCAAGAGCCAATGATACTGAAGGAGAAAGTCCAAGGTGTATTGAAGAAATTGGCAAAGAACAAGGCACTAGGAATTGATGGAATGAAAATTGAGATCTTTGAAGAAGTGAGGCAGCACAGGAGGCACTCACTCATCTCTACCAAGATATTTGGAAGACAACTATCTGGCAGACTGATTGGAAGAGATCCGTATTTGTGCCCATTCCAAAGTGAGGTGGCCTAACTGAATGCGGAAATCACTGGACAATCTCTTTGATATCCCATGTGAGTAAAGTTTTACTAAAGGTAATACAGAAATGGCTGCAAGCATACATTGACAGAGAACTTTCAGAGGTTCAGGTCGGATTTAGAAGAGGCCGTGGAGCGAGGGATATCATTGTTGATGTCAGATGGATCTTGGCTGAAAGCAGAGAATCTATCAGATGTGCTGTATTATCTATGCAAAGACTTTCGATTGTGTGGCTCATGACAAACTATGGACAACATTGTGAAGTATGAGTATTGCAGAACACTTAATTGTGCTCATGAGGAATCTATACATGGACCAAGAGGCAGTTGTTCAAGCAGAACATAGGAACACTGAATGGTTTAAAATAAAGAAAGGTGTGCGACAAGGTTGTATTCTTTCACCATACTTATTCAACCTGTATGCTGAGCAGATAATCCGAGAAGCTGGGTTCTATGAAGAAAAACGTGGCATCAGGATTGGAGGATGATTCATTAACAACCTGCGATATGCAGGTGATACAACCTTGCTTGCTGAAAGTGAAGAGGACTTAAAATATTTGCTGATGAAGATTAAAGAGTGCAGCCTTCTGTATGGGTTGCATTTCAATGTAAAGAAAACAAAAATCCTCACCACCGGACCAATAAACAACATTCTTATCAACAGAGAAAAGATTGAAGTTGTCAAAGACTTAATTTTGCTTGAATCCACTGTCAACACTCATGGAAGCAGCAGTCAAGAAATCAAACAACATATTACATTGGGCAAATCTGCTGCACAAGTCTGCTTTTAAATGTTCAAGAGAAAAGATACCTTGTGGACTAAGGTGTGTCTGACTCAAACCATAGTATTTTCAGTAGCTTCATTTGCATGTGAAAGTTGGACAATGAATAAGGAAGACCGTAGAATAATTGATTCATTTGAGTTACAGTGTGGGAGAAGACTGTTAAAGTACCATGGACTGCCAGAAGAACAAACAAATCTGTGTTGAAAGAAGTACAGCCAGAATGCTCCTTTGAAGCCAGAATGGCGAGACTTCATCACTCATATTTCAGACATGTTATCATAAGGAACTAGTCCCTGGAGAAGGGCATTATGCTTGGTAAAGTACAGGGTCATTGAAAAAAAAGAAGACCCCAATGAGATGGATTGGCACCATAGCAGTAGTAATGGCCTCAAGCATAACAACAATTGTGGAGATGGCACAGAACTGGCAGTATTTCATTCTGTTGTACATAGATAACACTGTGAGTGGAAACTAACTCAGTGGCACCTAACAACAATATGTATGTTTGTATGTTGGTGGTGTTGTTAAGTGCTGTCGAGTTGGTTCTTTCTCTTTGCAACCCTGTATAGGGTTTCTGAGGAGTGGTTGGTGAGTTTGAACTGCTGACCTTGCAATTCAAACTGACTTTGCAGTACAGTGCATTATCTTGCAGTGCCACACCAGGACTCCTTCACACAGATATACCCACCATTCATCTATCAGTTTGTCATCCTGTGGTAACTTGTGCATTGCTGTGATGCTAGAATATATGCCACCAGTGTTATTTTGTTGTTAGGTGCCATTGAGTCTGTACCGACTCATAGCGATCCTGTGCACAACAGAACGAAACAGTGCCTGATCCTGGGCCAACATCACTATTGTTGCCACACTTGAGCCCATTGATGCTGCTACTTTGTCAACCCATCTCACTGGGGATCTTCCTCTTTTTCTCTGACCCTACACCTTACCCAAGCATGATATCCTTCTCTAGTGACTGGTCCCTCCTGACAATGTGTCCGAAGTATGAGAGATGAAGTTTGGCCATCCTGGCCTCCAAGGAGCACTCTGGCTGCATTTCTTCCAACACAGATCTTTTGGTTCTTTTGGCAGCCCATGGCACTTTCAATATTCTCCTCCAACACCATAACTCAAAAACATCAATTCACCATAACTCAAAAACATCAATTCTACGGTCTTCCTTATTCACTGTCCAGCTTTCGCATGCATATGAGGTTATTGAAAATACCATGGCTTGGATCAGGCACACCTTAGTCCTCAAGCTGACATCTTTGCTCTTCAACACTTTAAAAAGGTCTTGTGCAGCAGATTTGCCTAATGCAGTACAACATTTGATTTCTTGACTGTTGCTTCCATGAGTGTTGCTTGTTGATCCAAGAATGAAATCCTTGACAACTTCAATCTTTTCTCTGTTGATAAGAATGTTGTTTGTTAGTCCAGTGGTGAGAATTTTTGTTTTCTTTACATTGAGATGCAATCCATACTGAAGGCTGTGCTCTTTGATCTTCATCAGTAAATATTTTAAGTCTTCTTCACTTTCAACAAGCAAGGTTGTATCATCTGCATATCGCAGGGTGTTAATTAACAACCAGTGTTATAGGTACTTTAAATATTAGCAGGGTCACCCATGATGGACAGATTTTAGCAGAGTTTCTAGACTAAGACAGAAAGAAGAGACAGACTACTTCTGAATGAGTCATCATTGAAAACCTTATGAATAGTAGTAGAACATTGTCAGATACAGTGCTAGAAGATGAAAACATTACAAATAGCAGCAAAACATTGTCATATATAGTGCTGGGAGATTGGGCCCCACAGATGAGAAGACACTCAAAATATGTCTAGGAAAGAGCTGCCTCAAAGTGGAGTTGTCTTTAATAATGTGGATGGAACTATACTTTCAGGACCTTCATTTGTTGATGTGGCACAACTCAAAATGAAAAGAAATAGCTTCAAATATTTAATAATAATCAGAACATTGAATACATGAAGTATAAATCTAGGGAAATTAGAAATTGACAAAATGAAATGGAATACTTATCAGGATAGACTAGTCCCTAGAGAAGGACATCAGAGGGCAAGAGAAAAATAGGAAGACTCCCAACATAATGGATTCAAACATAACAATTTTTTTTTTAAGTTTTTATTGTGAATTGACTGACAGTTTACATGGGAGAACATCAGCTTTGCATTCATCCTATCGTATTTCATTTCATTGCAATGATAACAGTCCCCTTCATGCATCATCAAACAACCAAAGAGTACACCCAACAAGCCTGCCCCCCGGCCATCAGCACACAGACCCTCTCCCTCCTTGAGTCCGGAGTCTCCAGCTGCTCCATCTCTCCACATCAGAGTCTCTGCCTCCATCTCTGGCATCACTGCTTCTCTGGATAGGGTCACGCACTCCGCTCTTCTCCCTTGATGGTCCCAGGGATCTCCATTCCTGGACTGCAAAATTAACCACTCCCCTCCTTTTGTTACAAAACATCTGCCTGTACATTTCCAACTCTCACAATCAGTCTTGGTAGCAATTATTCATTATTGAACCACAAGAGTCTTATCCCTATCTCCCCCTTCCAGACAGGTTGGAAACCATTCAGTGGAGATTCTGCCTTTCCCGTACCCTCTGGAACTAGGCTCTCTCTTGAAAGCTTGTAAGCCAGTCACTTCTTGCCTTTGTATCCCCTCCCCCCCATTTTGGGTAGCCAATGTCTAAGTTGTGCAGAGGGTTGCTGAGTTGGAACTTACTAGGCAGCACCTACCAACAACACAAATGTATGCATTATGCACACATATGTATGTATACATTGTTATTGCTGTTGTTAGGTGCCATCGAGTCGGTACCGACCCATAGTAACCTTATGCACAGTAGAACAAAACACTGCCCGATCCTGGGCCAAGCTCACTACTGTTGGCACGCTTGAGTCCATCGATGCTGCCACTTGGCTAATCCATCTCATTGGTGGTCTTCCTCTTCTTCTCTGACCCTCCACCTTAGCAAACATATCCTTCTCCAGCAACTGGTCCCTTCTGACAGTATGTCCGAAGTATGAGAGACGAAGTTTGGCCATCTTGGCCTCCAAGGAGCACTCTGGCTGTACTTCTTCCAAAAGGGATCTCTTGGTTCTTTTGGCAGCCCATGGCACTTTAAATATTCGCCTCCAACATAACAGCAGGTTGTTTTGGGCTATCAGGGAGAGCTATGGGAGCCAAGTGGTACAGCAGGTTGAACAGTGGACTGCTAGCGACAAGGTCGGCATTTCAAACCCATCATCTGCTCCACAGGATACAGGTGAGTCTGCCTGCTCCTGTAAAGATTTACATTCTCAGAAATGCTGTGAGGCAGTTTGACACTCTCCTGTAGGCTCACTATGAGTCAGAATCAACTCCCTGATAGTGGCTTGGTCTGGGAAGAGTGCTCTGAAAAGGACAGGAAAGGTGGCTGAAAAACAAATGCACTCAGAAAAAAATCCAGCACATATGGCATGAGCCTATAAAATGATCCTATATGTGTAAATTATATGTGTATATGTACATAGAGAAATTAGGGGGTAGAAAGTCTAACTTTGAAATACAGTAAGTTCCCAGGTTATGAATTTACAGACAACTCATGTTGTTAAGTACATCGAGTCAATTCCAACTTATATGGACCCTGTATAAGGTTTCCAAGGAACAGCTGGTAGTTTTGAACCACCAACCTTGCTGCTTATCCTACTATGCCACATCAGAACTCATAACTTGCCCTTTAATGTTAAGTTAATTTGCATTCCTTCTGCTCAAAACAAATTCTTCATCACAATCACCTTCACTTTTTGCATATGCAACTTTTAAATCAATTAAATCTTTTTTTTTCTTTTGCACTAAAGTCAAGCTAATAAGAACTTTATGCACCTGTTCTGACTTACCTACAAATTCGAATTAAGACCCACTTAGGAGCAGTACTGCCTATATTAATGCCCTTAGAACCGATAAGCTTGTATTTCAAAAAGTCTCATGGTTTTCTTTGCCAAGTGATCTTCAGATAATAAGAATCACTTTCTCCACTGTATCCAGTGAGCTGTGCTTCCACCTTGCTCGTGGAGGGCTCTCTCCTCATCCTAAATGCCCATTCTGTCTTTAGAGAGGAGGGCCTTCTCCCTGAGCAGCCATGCTCTCCCTTCTCTCTGAAACCAGGAAGGTATTACTGAGTTCTGACTGACTCTTGGTTTCCTAATGACATTGATATGTCTACATGGTGACTGGAAAGTTGGGAGACAATTAGAAAGTATTAACCATGAATTAAAAAAGCATCTCCTTTCTCCTTTCTTTTTTTTAAAGGCATGAAAGAATTACTGATGTCCTTGATCAAAAGAATTATGTGGAAGAACTCAACCGGCACTTAAGGTAGGATACTTTTTTCCAGTGTTAGTTACATACTCTTTATCCTGTAATTTTTTTCATGTAATTTGAGTTCCCATAAATGTAAAACAACTGTCATTTATAATGGACCTTTTTCCGTAACAAGAAAAAACAACATCAAAGCAATGTGCATTGCATAGACTAGAGAAATATGATTTTTTATTGACATATGGCTTTTTGTTTTGTTTTGTGTATTTATACTATTTAAGGGGTCAATAAATTAAACATTAGATCTCCACTCTATCCCCCACCCCACAGCCACATAGCTGAAAATCATTACCGTAGGAATCACTGCTACTATAGGGAAGGTGATATGGGTTGTTATTAGAAAAATAGGTTGAAATAACTGGGTTAGACCTTCCAGAACAATTTGGTAGTGATCACAAGCATCTATATTTTACGTTTCTTTTCATTGGGAAGCTGCTAAGATGTTTCATGAAGTCGTTGGTGATGTTGGTGGGGAATACTCATAGGAGAGTGTCTGCCCCAGAACCCATGTTGCTCAGAGTGATCTTAGGGAAAAGTTGCCCTAAGGCTTCTTTCTAAGTGTGGTGTTGCTGCCATTTTCCGTGGTGCTGTGGGATAAAGCACTGGACCACCTGGTCAGTTTGAATGACGGTCATACTCACCAGCCATTCCTTGGAAACCCTGTATAGTATCGCTGTGAGTCGGAACGGACTCTACTTAACAGCAGTTTGGTGAGAATTTTCTCAAGGAATAGGCATTGAATTTTACCAAATCCATGAAGGTAATAATGACTTTCATCCCTTAGGCTAGTTACAAAATGACTATTATCTTTTTTTTTTAACATTATTTACTTCAATTTCCTCTTTTCTATTCCCTTCTCCCCACCCCCTTGCACCCTGTAACCATCATACAATGTTTCATTTAGCAAGAAAACCTTTTTTAAAATAACTTTTTATTATGAATTGAGTAAAGGTTTACAGACAAGATTATCAGTTTTGTGTTCAACAGGAACATACCTTGTTTCATCTCAATAATTGCAATCCTCTCCATGGAACAACAGATATCCCACTTCCTCCCTGTGGTTCCTACCTACATTCCACCCACCTTCCCACCCCTTCTCAACTTTGTCCTTAGATACATGTTGCCCCTTTGATTTTGAATGATTGACTGTTCATCATTCATAGTGAGCATACTATAGTAGTGCTATCATTTCCCCTGTGTTCCTGTTGCTTGGCTGAAAGTTGGGCCACAAGGGTGGGCTCCTTTCCAGACCTGAAGGATGGTTTAGGGCCATAATCTCAGGTTCCTCCAGTATCTTTCTGACCAGTAAGTCAGTCTTTTTTTTCTTTTGATAATTTTGAGTTTGTTCCACATATTCTGCCACTCTATCCAGGACCTTCTAATGAATGGGATCCCTTTCAGAGCAGTTGGTAGTGGTAGCTGGCCACCATCTAGTTCTTCTGGTCTCAGAGTCATGAAGACCAATACTCATGTGTTCCGTTAATCCATTGGACTAATTGATTCCAAGCATCTTCATTTCGCATATGTCTTCTTTCTTCTGCACATGGAGAGCCCAATAGCTGCACCTTAGGCGGCTGCTCATGAGCTTTTAATATCCCAGATGCTACTCACCAAAGTAGGATGTAGAACATTGTCTTTGTGGACAGTGTTATGCCACTTGATTATAATGTCCCCTGAGACTATGTTCCCTGAGGCCCCAGGCCCAGCTATATATAATGGTCTCATAAAGTATTTGTCCTTTTGTGATTGACTAATTTCTCTCAGCATAATGTCCTCCAGGTTCATCCAAGTTATGAAGCATTTTGCAGATTTATCATTCTTCTTCAATGTTGCATGGTATTCCACTATGTGTATGTACCAAAGTTTATTTATCAATTCTTACACTGTTGAGCACTTAGGCTACCTCCATCTTTTTGCTATTGTAAAGAGTGTTGCAGTGAACATTGGTATGAATATATCTACTCGTGTCCTGGTTCTTATTTCAGGTGGATATATACCAAATTAGAGGGATTGCTGGGTCATAAGGTATTTCTATTTCCAACTTTCTGAGGAAGCACCATACCATTCTCCAGAGTGGTTGAAACATTTTATAGTCCCAACAACAATGTAGGAAGGTCCCAGTTTCTCCACACCCTCATCAACATTTGTTGTTTTCTGTTTTCTTGAACTTCACTAATAATGTGAGATGATAATATCATTGTTGCTGTGATTTGCATTTCTCTGATGACTAGTGATTATGAGCACTTTTTCGTTTATCTATTGGCCGCTTGTATATCTTCCTTGGTGAAATGTTTGTTCATGTCCTGTGCCTGTTTTTTAATTGGTTAGGTTTTTTTATTTTTGTCTTTTTCTTGTAGCAGTGTGGTGTACTATTCTATAAATTTCAAATATTAGTCACTTGTCTGGTATGTCGTTACAATGTCAGTGGGCTCCCTTTTTACTCTTTTGACAAAATCTTAATGTTCTTAATTCTTAGAGATCTCAGTCATCTATTTTGTATTCTACTTGAGCATTTTTAAAATGTTTCATAGTGTAGTATGCCATGTATTGTCGTTCTTCTTGTTGTTAAGTGCTGTTGAGTGAGTTCTAACTCATAGCAACCCTGTGTAGGGTTTCCAAGGAGAAGCTGCTGGGTTTGAACTGCCAACCTTGTGGTTCACAGTCCAGGTCTGATCCTACAGCTCCACACCAGGAGCCCATGCCAATGTATTTTGTGTTGTTACGTATGTCATTGAGTTGTTTTCAACCCATAGTGACCCTCTTTAGGGTTTCCAAGGAGCATCTGGGTTTGAACTGCCAACCTTGTGGTTTGCAGTCTAGTGTTAATCCTACTGCGCCACACAGGAGTCCATATATTAAGACCACTAATTTGTCCCTATTTTTTCATTGATGATCTTTATATATCTAGGTTTTATATTTAGGTCTTTAATCCATGTTGAGTTTGTTTTACATATATATATATATGTTGTGAGATACGGGTCTTATTTTATTCTTATGCAAATCGATGTCCAGGTTTGCCAGCACCGTTTGTTGAAAAGACTATCTCTTCCCCATTTAATGTGTTTTGGCCCTTAGTCACTTCTGGGTTCTCAATTCTGTTCCATTGATCTGTGTATCTTTCGTTGTACCAGTATTTTGACCATCGTGGCTGTGTAGTAATTTTTGATGTCAGGGAGTGAAAGGCCTCCAACTTTGTTCTTCTTCTAAAGCAGTGCTTTGCTTATCCAAGGTCTCTTTCATCTCCATATAAAGTTCATGATCATTTTTCTATCTCGTCTATTCATTAATGATGTTGAATCTGGATTGAGATTATATTTATAGATTACTTTGGGTAGTATTGACATTTTCACAAGGTTAAGTCTTCTTATCCATGAGTATGGTATATTCTTCCAATTTTGTAACTCTATTTTCGTTTCTCATAGTAGTGTTTTGTAGTTTTCTTTGTATAGGTCTATTTCTCTCATTAGATTTGTTCCAAGTATTTCATGTTTTCAGTGACTATTGTAAATAGTATTGTTTCCCTAATTTCCTTTTCAGAGCTGTGTTTATTAGTATGGTGGTGGTGATGCTATGCTGTGGAGTTGGTTCCAATAGTACGGTGGTGATGGTGTGCCGTGGAATCGGTTCCAACTTAGAGCGACCCTGTATAGGGTTTCCGAGGCTGTAAATCTTTACAGGAGTAGAAAGCCTCATCTTTCTCCCACAGAGCAGTTGGCAGTTTCGAACTGCTGACCTTGCAGTTAGCAGCCTGACTCATAACCACTATGCTACCAGAGCCAACTGATTTTTGTATACTGATCTTATATCCTGCCATTTTGCTGAACCTTTCAATGAGTTCCAGTAATCTTCTTGCTGAGTCTGGAATTTTCTATGTATAGGATCATTGTTGTTGTTAGTTGTTAAGTGCCATCGAGTCAGTCCCAACTCATAGTGATATAGGGATTCCAAGGAGCAGGTGGTGAGTTTGAACCACTGACCTTATGGTTCAAACTGACCTGGCAGTCCAGTGCATTATCTCACAGTGCCACCACACCAGGACTTCATATAGAATTATATCATCTAGAATTAAAGTTTTACTTCTTCTTTGCCAATATAGATTCCTTTAATTTCCCTATTTGCCTTATAGCTCTGGGTATGATTCCCAGCACAATGTTGAATAAAAGTAGTAATAAAGGCATCCTTGTCTAGTTCCTGTTTGCAAAGGGAATGCTTTCAGTTTCGCTATATTGAGAGTAATTCTGGCTGTTGGATTTGTATAGATACTCTCAATTATGTTGAGCAACTTTCCTTCAATTCCTACTTTGTTCAGTATTTTTACCTAGAATGGATGCTGGATTTTGTCAAATGCTGTTTATGCATCAGTCGATATTATCATATGGCTCTTTTCCTTTTTTAAAAAAAAATTTATAATGATGGATTATGTTTATTGTTTTTCTAATATTGAACCATCCTTGCATTCCTGGAATGAATTCCACTTGGTTATGATGTTTTAGTGTTTATATAAGTTGTTGAATTCTATTTACTAGAATTTTTGCATCTGTGTTCATAAGGGATATTGGTCTGTAATTCTGTTTTTTAGTAATATCCTTGCCTGGTTTTAGTATGAAGGTTATGCTTGCTTCATAAAATGTATTTGGGAGTTTTCCACCCATTTCTATATTCTGGAGTAGTTGAGGAAAATTGGTGTCAGTTCTTCTCTGAGTGTTTGATAAAATTCACCAATAAAGCCATCTGGGCTTAGACTTTTTTTGTTGGGAGTTTTTTAATGACCTGATCAAAGTAATCTCTTCTTATAAGTCTGTTCAAGTTTTCTACTTCACTCTGTTTTAGTTTAGGTAGGTCGTGTTTTTCTAAAACTTTATCCATTTATTCTAGATTTTCAAATTTGTTGAAGTACAACTCTTCATAATATTCCGTTATTACCGTTTTTAATTTCTATTATAACATCACCATTATCATTTCTTGTGTGTGCTGTTTGCATCTTTTCTGCCTTTTCT